GACATCACCTCTGCATCCTAGAAATTGGTCAGAAAGGTCCATCTAGCTCAATATAGTCATTATTCCAAGCAGCCAGGAGCACAATTTATTTCTATTATTATGAAAGAAGGGAGAATGAATATTCCAAGACAGCTAGGAGTCCCCACCACACATTCCTGTCAGTAAAGTATTTTTAAAAAACATACCCTTGACTATAAATGTATTTGTTTATAATTAACAGGCATGTCAATATGTATATTAACTAGTTATAAAACTTATTTTTTTTTTACTTTTTAGATTAAAACAAACATAATTCTGTCTTCTTGTACCTCAAAAGATCATTGGGCACATGCCCCCTTAGAGACCACTGCCTAGATTAAAGATATAGATTTATCAGATAGGTAGTGATGGAGGCTCTGGAGCTGAGTAAGACCACCCAAGGAGAAGGCACATAAGGGAGAAGAAAGCTCCAAGGATCAGAATTTGGAGGACATTGATACTGGTATTAATTAGGTTTTTGTCACTGTGATCAAAATACTTGACAACAACTTAGAGGAAGAAAAATCTATTTTGGATCATAGTTTCAGAGGCTCAGTCCTTGAACTCCATTGCTCTGGGCCCAAGGAGAGGCAGAACAACATGGTGGAAAGGTGGAAAGGTGTGGCAGAAGACCACTGCTCTGCTCATGGCAATCAGGAAGTGGGGTGGTGGTGGTGGCGTGTCTCAGGGAAGATTCCAGCCAGAAGAAAGGGCAAGGGAAGGACCAGCTCTTTCCCTGCAGGGAAATAACTCCAAGAAATGCAGACATCATCTCTGCATACTAGATTGGTCAGAAAGGTCCATCTAGCTCAAAGGGAGGCAGGGCAATGTAGTCATTATTCCAGGACACAACCCCAGTGACTCACCTCTAGCCATGCCTACCTGCCTGCAGTTACCTCCCAGTCAGTCCATCTAATCTAGGATGGATTGATGAAGTAACAGCTCTCATAATCCCATCATTTCACCTCTGAATATTTCTGCATTAACACAGGAACTTTTGGGAGACAGCTCATATCCAAACATAACAATATTTAAGAATTGAGCTGCAAGAAAAGAAGCAGGGAGCCACACAGTGGTGCACACTTATTATCCCAGCTACTCAGAAGGCTGAGGCATAAGAATCTACAAGTTCAAGGCCAGCCTAGACAACTCAACAAACTCTGTCTTGAAATAAAACAAAAAGGGCTGGGGATATAGCTCAGTGATAGAGTATTTGCCTAGCAAGTACAAGGCCTTGAGTTGGATCCCCAGTGCTGGAAAAGAAAAGGAAAGAAAAAGAGTGGTCTGAGAAACTGAGTAGGAGCTATCCAATAAATGAAATATCTGGAAATCTGGGGCAGAGTTTCAGGAAAAGTCACGTGGGATGGGGACTAAAAGGGAGCTTTTAATTTACCAGTATGAGGTAATTGGTACCCAGGGTTGACAAGAGAAGAAAACTAGGGTGAAGAGGTAAGAAAAAAATTAATAGTACATTCAATTCTATGACCAGGAAGGAGGCACCCATTGAAGGTTTTTGAGCCTCAGTGAGAGCATTTCTGTGAATTCCAGGAAACAGAGTCTGAAACCCGAGGCCAGCGAGGATGCCCAGAGTTCAAACAGCTTCAATTGAAAGATTTGGCTGAGGAGAAATGAAAATGACCTAGTGGCCAACCTGATCTGGAGACTTATGGAGAAGGAAGGGAAAACGGACTCCAAGGCTGTGAACGCTGGGAGCTGAGAGAGCAGGGGTGCCATGCAGAGAGCACTGTTGGATGAGGTCCTGATGGGTGACAAGCATCATGTGCTTCCCAGAAACGCTTCCTGGAGAGGCTGCTGAAGTGCCCATCCCCACGGCTTGCCCACCTGCAGCAACGCCCACGCCTCCGCTACACAAACTCAAGTTCAGAGCTCCCACTCACTCCCTGGCAGTGCCGACCACATGATTGCCACTCCATGCTGTTCCAGAGCCATGACCAGCCAAGCTGACTTTACCGGGGTACCAGGACAATGGGGTTGTCACTGAGGACAAATGGAGCAACCTCTTTCTGCACAGTGACAAGCTCCCTGGAGTGCCAGCAGCAAGAGCTGTCAGCTGGCCAGAAAATAGGGCATATTGGGGCCACCCTGTGGCTCATCTCCAAGGCAACCCCACACACAACTCCAGGAGTGAGGACAGAGGTCACACTTGCCAGAATCATCCTCAGCCATGGGCACGGCCTTCCTCTCTGGCCTACTTCCCATTGATTAAGATGATCAGGAATTGAGCCAAAGGAAAGAGTTGATCTCTGGAAACATGTGAGGAAGAAGGATGCTGTTCTTAACCACAGCAGTGTCTGTCCCTAAGGAAGGACCGCGACTGTTTGTTCCTCCTGGGCCTCTCCCATGGATTCTGGTCCACTTGGCTTACTGACTGCACTGGAGCAGGAGGCCAGAACCCTCCCTGGGGATGCTCCCTGCTGCTGCTTCAGGCCCCTCATCGGTTGGGTGGAAGTTGGGCTGCAGGACAAGAATGACAGAATTTGGGAAAGTGCTCACTAGTCCTACTTCTTGAACATCCATTCTTGGGGTCTGGATGAGCCTGGGCACCAGGAGACAGGACTGCTGTTCTAACAGCTCCCTCTGAGTTATGTCTGGAGCCAGGCCCAATACTATCCAGGGTGGGGAACCTCAGTGTGGTCCTGGGAATTGGGGAGACCTTCTCCAACATGCTGGCCTGAGGCAGTAGTTGTCCTTGGAGACACTAATGGGGAGAACTACCTACCTCCTCACTGGCAACAAAGGCTTCTTACTGCCCTGGCTGCCTCTAAATTGACACTTCCACCATCAAATTATTTTAAAGATGAAATAGGAAACTATGAATCTCATAAAAATTGATGAGCAAGTTCTGTGGTGCAGGCAAAATAATACTAAAAACCTCAAGGATAATGTAGTTATATGGTGCCCTGAACACATCTGTAGGGCCAATCCTAGATTGCTTGGGCAGCTCAGAGAGTGGAATTTGCTTAACACTTATTATGCTCCAGATGCACCCTCCAAATCTTGATGGAGGAGGAAGAGTTAAAGCCACGAGTGGAAGGTGCTTCCAGCTAAAGAAACAGCTTGTCCAATCAACCAAGTGACAGGAAGCATTCTATGCCATGGGGTTCACACCTCACACCCCAAATTAAATTCAGTTGGCTACAACACAAGGAGGGAGGGAGGGAGGGAGGGAGGGAGAGGATCAGCACTTCCAAAGCCCCTGGGTGAATCCCAGTCAGATCCAGTCTTGTGTGGTAGGGAGCTTGTGTTTTAACCAGAGGGCAACAAGGAGCCATTGAAAGATTTTAAGTAGAGAAGAGACATGATCCGATTTGTTTTAGAATTGTAGCAGGGGGGTTTAAGAGCGTCATGTGGCAGAATAGCTATGAGAGAGAGACTAGCTGTGTCTTGCTTTCTCCACTGTAGCTTCCTGGTAAAGAATGCAAGGTATTCCCACCCCTCCTCCTCCCCCCCCTACCCCAGGAGGGGAGCTGAGCCCTTCTATCTCTGAAGACTGAGCTTTCCCTGACTACAGGGGGGAGCTGGCAGTACTTTCATGTGTTCTGAGGTTAAAAAAAAAAGCCAGGATTTTTTCCCTCTTTGTTTTAGAAGGCCTAGGTCCAGATAGGGCTAGGAATTAAGGAGGGGAATAACAGCACTCAGAGTTTATAAGATGTATAAACACAAGGCTTCAGGAGAGGCTATCTCAGGACTGGTTAGCTATGAGGGAAGGAGAGGAGGGAGTAGAGAATCTGAGTTTTCAAATGGACTCATGTGCTGGGAGCCATTAGCCAAGTAGGTATGACAATTTCCTTGCCAGCGTTTGGGACCTCCTGTTCCTTCCAGCCTGCTCCTTCTGAGCCTGTAAAGACTCACTCAAGGGCCACAAAGCAGAATGCACTCTCACAGCACATCGGCAGCCAGACCCCAGCATCATCAGGGGAGGATTCCCGGAGAGAGTGTGGGAACCTGGCTGTAAGTCAGTTGAGGGCAGCATCACCTTTGTCTGCCCCGCAAGGCCAAGGGCAGAGCGGGCGCTGGTTCCTACCTGTTGACCGGGGTCCTTCAATCCACCAGATTCCTTGCTCATAGCTCTCTCTCTTCAACTCCCAATGCCTCTTGGGAATGCCCTGACAATAACAAAGGTGCTTTCAGAAGCCTCTGTCCCTTTTCCCCATTCTTTAAGCTATTCTCTGCTCCTTCCCTACTTTCTAGTATGCCCAGCCTCCTCCATCTGAGATGGGAATTTGGGAATAAGGGGGAGAGATACTGAGTCTCAAAGGAAGCACCCAGGAAACAATGAAATGCAGGAACGACCTATGAACCACTGAGATGCAGAAAGCACCCCATGAACCCATGAACCGTTGAGCAAAGCAGCCCTGGCCCTGGACCTAAGCTCTTGTCTGCAGAAGTAACTTAAGGGCCATGTGAACTTAGCAGGAAATTGTGTAACTGCCTTGGCTCCATCCCCAGTTCAGCTCCTATCCTCTCTATAAATAATAACAGCGCACACCAACCTGTGGCTCTGTACCTCCGGAGATGGCTCACATTCTCCCTTGAATATGTGTACTTTGCCCCCAAAGGAGTGTCTTTCTTGAGATTGAATATGTATCTATTCGCTCTTGAATATGTATCTACTTTCCTAAATAAGCCTGTCTATGTCTTTGACTGGCGCGTGCTAAAATTGTTTTCTGTCATATGCCAAGAGCCCCACTGGTCAAGAGTCAAGTTCCACCTTGTCTCTGTGAACTCCTTGGATTCTTCTTCAGAGACAGCTCTCTTCCGGTGACACTTCCTCATTGCGGAGTTCATACTTTCTCATTACCTTCCCCAGGGGTAGACACCTCTGAGGGACAGGAGCATATCTGACGCATAGCCTGACGTCCTAGAAGGGTCAGAAGGGAAGCGGTCCGTGGATATACTCAACAAGGACTCACAGTCCAACTCACATGGAAGTCAATACTACACTATTTTTTGTGGAAATAAAAAGCTTTATTGCAAGGTTGACTAGCAAAAAGGACAGAAGCAAAGCTCAAATCTTCTTCTCTGACCAGTTGGCAGTGGGGGAATTTATAGAAAGGGAGAGAGAAGAGGCTGCCTGTCGGTTAGATGGAGAGAAAGGGAAGCTTAAGGGACCTTTTTTCAAGCATAGATGGCCATGCCTCTTCATGTCCCGCGTTGTTCTGCAAGAGGAATTTTGAGCTTGTGACATCAAAAGGTTATTGACCAGACTAATTGGTATCTTTTGTGCATGTCCATTCTCGAAAAGTCAGTTTCAAGCTGGTTGAGTGGATCTGGAGATATTTCCTGAAAAACAACCTGAAGACACTTTGTTACTTAAGCAATTTATGTCCTGGTGTGCCCAGGCCTTAGCTGCTTTCAATGGCAGGAGAATGTAACTAACTTAATAGATCACACTGCTACCGACCAGGCTTTACAATTGCAGTAGGTGGGGTAGTCTGAGGAGGGAGTGTTATCACCTTTTACAGATGAGGAAACTGAGTCCCACGGCATGAAATAACTTGCCCAAGACAACAAATGCAATCAAGTCAGGACTAAATATCTTTGTGCTTCCTTTTTGTGTTCCCCTTCCATCCTCTCAAAAAGCATTTATTGGTTTTCTACTTTGCACCAAACGCTGCACATTTACAAGGGAGTCAAAGAAAAATGTAGCCCTTGCAGGCTAGGCAGAAGACAGACACCAGTAATGGACATACTGGAGGATCCTACAAAGTCCTGTGGGACCTCAGAAAGGGGAGAGGCCCAGCAAGGCTTTCCAGGGAAGGGACCAGGCAGAGAACTGGGCAGAAGGCCATGCTGGCCAAAAGGCCAGTGTGTGTGGAGACACCTGGGCATGAAAGCAGACAACTCGGTTCTCCAGTTGAGCAGAATTCCTGTACACCTCCAAGATGCCCCCCACCAGTATCTAAAGGGTCCGGGCAATGTCCTCCCTACCCTGGTGGATTGTTTAGTTTTTTATTTCTTTTAGTGTTGGGGCGAAGCTCAGGGCCTCATGCGTGCTGGGCAAGCCCCTATCACTGAACCCAGGATCCCCACTTTGGCGGATTTCCAAGGGTGTTGACTGGGGATTGCCCTGGGCTTGACTTCCTAGGGGCGGGCTCTGCCAGTGCCCTAGGTCCTCCTCACAGCTGCGCCCCCCTCTCTCAGCCCGATCTTCAGTTTAGCTAAGCCACTGGATCCCTTTGGGTTTGATACCATCTAATTGGTTGTGGCTAATCCCATATTAACTTCTACTGCAGAAGCTAGAGGGCCTCTCCCACCCTCCATCACGTCCCCGGCCCCTACAGAAGCTGCTGTTATCATGTTTATGAGCCTCCACAGCCACCGACAGGCAAATTTGCATATAAATAACCTGCCAGTACTGGAGGCTGCAAGAGGTACCTGGTAACGACTCTGTTTATTACTCATGGGAGAGAAGAGGAGCACGAAGGCCTTCTGCGCCGGGTGGCCTAGTCGGGATGGCTACATTTCCACCCACTGATTCGCTGAGAAAGGGTCGGTGACCCCCAAACAGCAGAAGAGGAAGAGCTGCAAGCCTCCAGCTCCTCTTCTTTGGGAAACCCTGGCTGAGCAGCGCAAGACTCTCCTTGATACTGAGGATGGACCTGTCTGAAAATTAATTTAAGTGGCCAGGTTTGGCCCTGGGCTTGGTGCAGGTTGGCATACAAGGTAAACAGAGATGGATCAAGTTCTAAAAGAACTTGTCAATTGCAAAGGACATGCCACAGACCTGGCAGGGAGGCACTACCCAACAAAACAGGAAAAGAATGGGGCTTTGGTTAGGGGCCCTATGTGAATGCTTGCAATGAATGGCTTCCTGGAGGAAGGGGATTTGGAACCAGCCCTTGCCTCCCTAGGGGGCAGAGGAAGACAAAGCATCCCAGACTGGCCAGCAAAAGCATGTTACAGGAATGCTTTGAGTGGACTGTTGGGTGGCTGGAAGGAGAGCCAGGAGTCAGCTGTAGGTCCCCACATTACAAAGTTGTGTCTTCATTTCCTAAACCTTGAAGAGAGACCAGCATTAGTGGGGAACTCTGTAGGCTCATGCTATTCTGCTGAAATCTACACTAAAAGTTGATCTCCCCATGGGTTGAGAGTGTAGTTCAGTGACAGAGGACTCACCTAACATGCATGAGGCCTGGGCTCAATCCTTGGCACCGCCCCAGGGTTACCCAAGCTTAATTCAGAACAGAGGCCCCATCCCCAAAAGACTGAGGAATGGAGGTAAATGGCAGTTGGGGCCTTGGAGGGAGGAGGTGGGTTGAGGACAAGTTGGGAAGACTGGAAACCTGTGGTAGAAGTCAACCCACTACACATGTTCTCAAGACAAACAATACCTAGTCCTCAAGTAAGAGGACTCATTGCGTCATTGGCAACACATGGTCCATTCTAACTTCATCTGTAAGTGAGCTGATTACTTTTCCTGTAATCTGTGTCAGCGTTTTTACTTAATCCAGAGGAAAAACAAACTTCTCCTCTTCTGACAGGTGGTAGTTTTTGCACATTGGAGCCGGCCGCCCACCAGTTAGGCTCTTTGCCTCCCTCAAGAGCTGGGAGATGGGAGCACTGTCCCTCTTCCTATTCCCAGATCCCCAAAACATTCATGAGTTGCAAGACTGGCACGAGGCTTTTTTTGGCCATGATGAAAACTGGCAAACATTTAGAAAGGACAGAGAAAGAAATTATGAAAGAGAAAAAGAGAAGGGAAGCAGTCTCTTCCCATATTTTCAACAGGTTGAATTCAGTCTCTTATTTTTAATTTGTATTAGCCCTCCCATAGACTGGGAAGTAACCGGATTATCCTGGAAGAAGCACTGAGCACATCTTGACACCTGGGCTCCAATGCTGTCTTTGCCCTATGCTTATTGAATGGACAGATCAACTTCTCTGCATTGGTTCCTCATCTTTTAAGTGAGAGTTATAATTGCTGCCTCACAAGGACATGAGGAAAAAATGGGACTTTTCCCCCCAATACTAGGGATTGAACCCAGAGATGCTCTACCACTGAGCTACCTTTGCATTTTGAAATAGTGTCTCACTAAGTGGCCCAGGCCAGCCTTGAACTGGAGATCTTCCTGCCTCAGCCTCCCACTAGCTGGGATTAGAGGCTTGCACCACTGCACCCAACTATGAGATCATATTTTAAAGTTACCTCAAATGCAGTATGCTCTTTGAAACATTTATCTTTGAAGTAAATTATATAATATAATGGGGATTGGAACAGTTAGAATGGAGAATAGTTCACCAAATCCCAAAACACTAATACCAGGGATTCCTTTTGAGAGCATCAGAAGCTTCCAGGGTCAATCATTGTAGCTGGTCATAAATTCAGAAAGCTGGTTTCCCTAAGAGGTGTCATGGTCAGAAAATATAAATGAGTTAGGAAGGGTTTAGGACACTCATGAACAGATAGCTGTACTCAGGCTGCTGAAGAAGGGCAGATGTTGGACCTGATCCTAACTCTGAGATTGACAGCTTCTAGGGTAAAGCCTTGCCCATCAAATGTCTTAGAAACACTGCCACATACAAGAGCTAGCCACACAGATGCTGTGTGGGTTAGTGTCGAGGGGATAATTTCTCTATTTCTGTGCTCCATGTCCTGACAGTGCCCCAGATCCCCAAGACAATAGGCTGGATTTGCAGTTGGTACCACTTCTACAGTCCTCTTGCCATTTCTGCCAAAAAGCAGCATTGCATAGCCAGCTCTCTTCCTACACAGCACCTGCCCACCTATGCTCTAGAAAAGTCGCTTCTCTTGAGATAGAGCAAGGAGGTCACAACGGCCATCAGGCCCCAGGCAGACACAGCTTGGAGAGCAACAGTGACAAACATCTTGGCCCTCCGTACTCTCCAGGCCCCCATCTTCTGCACCTATGGGATGCCTTCCCATTGCTGGGGCGATTGGATTCCAGGGAATCAGCCTGTGGGCCCCAGCCGCCATGTTGAAGAACTGCTGATGGCTGGTGTCCTTCAAATTGCAGAGTTTTTCCCAAGGCCCAATAGCATAGCCCTAAGCTAGAGAGAGAGGTGTCTTTTGGTGAAACTGCATTTGGGGGTTTTTGACTATTTGGAGCTGAAGAAGTGTTGAGAAGAGCCATAGGCTATGGTGGTCAGAGATTTCTGGGTTTTCCCATCTGGCTTTGGTGAAGTCATCCCACCTTGGCCAGCGATTGTGGAGGCCGAAAGGAGGAGGCTTCCCCTCCTACCCCCCCCCCCCACCTTCCCACTACTTCTGCCTCTTCCAAAGTCTGAAAGTGGCCAAGCACAGTGGGTGGTACAATGTGCTATGATGGTGGGTGGATGGGGACAGAGAGCAAGTATAGCGACAGCGGGAAGAAGTAGGTTTTCATCTGAGGTGACTTGGGGCATGGAGGGGGCTACTGGAGCAGATGGCAGGATCAGGACAGGGAGATCAGGGTGACAGAGCCAACAGGGAGGGCTAGAGCAGAGCTAAGCCCGGTGCCAGGGGATGATTGAACAGCAGCTCTGGAGGGATTGAAGCGGGAGACAAAGGATTTGTTGCAGAGCCCAGAGCCCTGATGACTAGGGGACGCTTTGATGCCAGAGATAGCAGCAGCTGCAGTGGGCCTGGGGGCAGGGACCAGGGGTGATTTAGCACCTTGGAAGACAGGACAGCAGGACCTGTGCTTCTGGGACAGAGCTGTGGGCTATTGCCATCCATCCCCCACTAAAAGCAGCAGTCGCTGAGAAGGGAGGATGGCAGAGGGAGGGGTGGTGGCCACGGGGATAAGCACAAAAGTGGGTTCCAAATGCAGCCCAGGAGCACGCTCGGCCTGCAGCAGGCAGAGAGATTCCAGAGCAGTTTTACTCAGGGAAAAGGAAGCAAGGTTCAAAGAGAACGTAATGACTTGGCTGAAATAAATAGCTAATTAGCTCCAGATCACTTAGGAAGTTTACAGAAGAACTCATGGAGCAGTCACCAGTCAACAGCCTCCCCTGCCCCCCTGGACACAGGGACGCCCAGCAGAGCCCAAGAGCACATACCAAAGCCAGTAGTCAGCAGCCCAGCTAGACCCTTTTCCTTGCTGCCCAGCCACCTTCATAGGTCATCACTGAGAGGCCGCCTGGCACTAGGGAGAGACAGGCAGGTGGAGACAGGAGCCCAGCATTCAGTCCAGGCTCTGTATCTGCCACCTTAGACACCTTGAATGTCTTCTCCGAGTCCATTTTCTCGACTGAAAAAAGAGCCAAAACCAAACTGACTGCTTCCAGGATTTTTGTGAGAATCAAATGAGAAAAGGTTACGGCACAAATACAGGTAATTATTGTCCATGAGACACCAAGCTTCCTGAGAGAAGGGGGTCTGTATTATTCTCTTTGTACCCCTGCATTTAGCATAAAGCATGGCAAAAATGTTTGTTGAATGTTGATGAGTAAACGGGAACTATTTACTTCTCCAGTGGTACCTCCAGTTATCCACAGATAGACTAAGCCCAGGAAAGGTGGGGGTCCAAGGAATTCAGGTGGGAACCCGGCCCCAAATCAACCTCCAGTCATGTTCAGATGGGTTATCATTTTAACTTAGCCATAGCTTTGTTGTCCTGGAAGGCTTGTCCTGGGGTATTATTTAAATTTTAATGGAGGGGTGATCCAGGAGCCCCACCTTAGGAGTAGAGCTGGGCCCCTCCCTGGGCCTCCCTCTTGTCTTTCCTGTCCCCTTAAGCTTTCTGATTCAGAGATGAGGACAGACAGGGTCACTTTATAACCTCCATGCACTATTCAGTCTGAAATTTGAAGGCCCCACAATATATCAATCTTCTTAAGCCTGCATACACACTCCACATTAATTCTAATTTGGATACAACCAGGAGTTAAGTGGCAGTTGACTAGTTGACATGTTTTGTAGACATGTAATCAAACACTTATTAATTTTGATTTTGCAGTTCACTTTTTGCCTCTTGGGTCCAATCCATTCTTTTTTCAGGTATTGAACATTTCTGGAGGCGCTTGCAAAGGTCAAAGGAGCCAGGCGCCAGGTCCTTTGGATGACAAAGCATCTGGGAGGGGAGCTGGGGGCCCCTGACACCTCATGGTCTCCTAGAGAGGGGAAAATCAGCCTGGCCTATGGCTTTCACACTTTTCCAGGAAAAAGTAATACCGCCGGTTACCAGTGACGAGTCCTGCTCCCTCACATATTGAAATACAACATTAGAGAAGCACGCCAAGACAAGCACATAAAGCAGGTTTATTTAAAAAGGGGTAACATAGACTTCTCCCAGGAGGGAGAAGGGGGCCATAGCTGGTGTCCTGGTATCCTGAGAAGCAAGGCGGTCTGCCTTTTTTATATGTCCTAGGCTTCCTTTGTTCTCCTGCTCTCTTCCCCTTCTCTCTCTCCTTCCTGCATAAGTGACTAGGCCCAGGAGATGCTCCATGGGATGGCCGAAAGGTGAGAAGCAGATGGAGCAGTCCAGGACACATTAGTTAACAACTTTATAACTTCTGTAAGGAGGGGCAATTCCTAGGATAGGTTACTTTAGCAACAGGTTGGAGCAGGGGCAAGTTATCTTGATAGAGTGGAGAAAGGGCTCTGAAGGAATTAACATTGCAAGTCCTCCATTCTCTGGATCTGACCCTTGCCTATCTGCCTAATTCTGGCTTCAAAAGGAGATATGAATTCTGTCCCCAGAAACAGCCGCGATATGCTATATGTGCCTGGGCAAGCTGTCTGACTGTCTAGGCTTCAGGGTTCCCCTTAGAATAGGACTTGAGAAGCAGGGATGGAGCCTCTGGGGAAAGGGAGGTCACCAAGCCTCTTCTGCCCTGAGTCAGAAGATGGGACTGTGAGTGGGCAGGGGGCTCAGGGGCAGTAGGAGCCTGGATACCTGGAAGCTGGGCTGGGGCCCTATCTGTTTTCCCCTGGAAGACAGAGACTCTTTGTCACATGGAGTGAACCAGCCCACCCTCCACTGGCCCTGCAGAACAGGATGGGCCCAGTTGGATTCAAGTCCCATTACATCAGCTCCCTGCAGGCAATGGGCCAAATTTTGGTATCCCCTACCTGTCACGAGCGGTTTCTACAGACTCAGTCTGAGGCACACTCAGACTCAATCAAATCTATTTTATTAATTCTCATCACACTTCAGACACACATCCTGATGCTAAGTCCTTACTGACTCTACACCCAAGGGTCCCAGACACTCACCGTGACGTGTCTTAAGTCTGGTTGCTGGAACTCAATCTGAGCTAGAGGTGTCTGGTGCAGCGGGGACAATAGTGGTAGAGATCTCGGTCTTTCTGTCCGGGTCCTGTTAGCCCTGCCAGCCCCCACATTTAATTCCCACATTTAGTTCTTAGTGTTTAAGTCCCAGTTGTGCTTGCAGTTGATAACTGGGTGGGCCCTGGGGTGTGGGCCCTGGGGTGTATGCCCCAGTGTAGACTTTTACATCAGTATTTTAAGTTTATCTAAGTTCTGCAGTTTATCTAAGTGCTGCAGTTCACATTACATCATGGGCATATTGCTTATAGTCTTTTTTTCTACACACACACTCATTAATATAATCAACAGTCAATAATCCTATAATATTTCTGGTACTCAGTCAGTACTGAAATTCATATATTAAAGCCCAATCCCACTGTGACTCTATTAGGAGAGGCTTTAAGGAAGCAAGTAAGGTTAACTGAGGTCATAAGGGTGGGGCCCTGATCTGATTGAATTAGTATCCCTATAAGAAGAGATAGAAGAGCTCCACCTCCTTCCTCTGCCCCTCCCCTGCTCCCCCTCATCTCTCTATCCCTCTCTCTCTCCATCTTCTGAGAACACAGTGAGAAGGTGGCCATCTGCAAGTCACAAAAAGGGTCCTCACCACAACCCAGACCTTGGCGTTGGCCTTTTAGCCTCCAGAACCTTAAGAATAAATGTCTATAGCTTAAGCCCCCCAGTCTGGTGCTTTGTCAGGGCAATCCTGTAGACCAGACTGTGCTTCCCCCAGATGTTGGGAAAATCACCAGGAGGGAGCCAGTGTTTCACAGTTGCTGTCCAGAGCCCTTAGGGCAAGAAAGAGGAGAGGATCACCACCACTGATTCAGAGTTTATATCAAACCAGGCACTGCTCAAGACATTTTATGTATGTTAATAAACACATTTAATTCTCACAGCTTTAAAATATTGATACTATTAATACCCCCACTTTACAGCTGAGGAAACTGGGGCACAAATTGAGAAGTAATTTGCTCAGGGTCACCCAGCTATAAAACAGCACGGTCTTTGCAGGAGCTCACAGTTCAATCAGCCCGTGAGAGGGAACTGAACCGTGGCTGTACTCAGACATGCATCAAGTGTGTGGGAGATGAGAAGGAAGCTAAGATTGATCCTGCCTTTCAAGGAGTCTTACCAGGAAAAGAAGACAAGCCCCTAAATTCTACAAGGCAGAGACCTGGTCACCACCCATTCCCAGTGTCAGCATGGTTCTCTCAATAAATATTTCTTGAATGATGCATTTAATGATGTATTGGAATATATTATTAGTTTTCTATGGCTACTTCAATAAATTGCTACAAATTAAGTGGCTTAAAACAATGCAAACTTTCTGCCTTTGAGTTCTGTTTACATCATTATCTAAAATGGCTCTTGCTGGGTTAAAGCCACCAGGTGGGCAGGGCTGTGTTTCTTCTAGAGGCTCCGGGGGAGAGTTTCTTGGCTTTTCCAGCTTCTAGAGGATGCCTGCATTCCTTGGGTCATGGCTCCATTCTCCATCTTCAAACCAGAAGTACAGCATCTTTGACTCTTTCCTCTGACTCTGTCCCTCACTCCCCTGACTCACCCATTTACTTCTAAGGAACCCTTCTAAGACCATTGGATGTGTGTGGATCATCCAGAATAATCTCCCTGTCTCACTACTGATTAATAATCTTCATTTCATCTGTGATGTTCATTTCCTTTCCATGTAACGTAACATACCTATAGGTTCTGGTACTTAGAACTTAGACATCTGGGTAGGGGGACCATTAGTCAACTTACCACAAGGGTTTTGACTATGGCAAGTTAACTTCTCTGAGCCTCTAGTTTATTCCCCTAGATTAGGGGTCGTTCCATTTTCCCAAGTGTTCCAACGGACCTGAACTCTCAGTGCCCTCCACGACATGTCCATCTTCCTTGGCCTTCAGCTCCAGTCCTTCAGCAAGTTCTGTCAATGGAACTTCCCAAGTGACTCCCAAATCCTTTTCCCCATTTTTGCTAACAAATTCCAGGTCACCCTTCAATAGCTGCATGCCTGACCAATTGCAGTGACTTTACCCTGTTGTGGGGTAGGTCGCTCAGAAAACACACCAAATCCCAGTTTTGTCCAAATTGAAGAGTATTTAGCTGGCCGTTGACTGCTCCCCACAGGACCCATAACAGACTCTGCAAGGAACAGCCCTGAGCTTGAGCATTTTAGGATATTTAAAGGCAAAAACTGCAAAAACCACATCTGGGTTGACATAGCTGCAAGCAAGCAGGTACAAATGCTAAAACAGCTATTAGCAGAACAACTCAGTCAACCTCATCTTGGGTCTGAGCAGGTGCTAGACAACCGTTGAGCGGGTGATCAGTGGGGGCAATAATCTACTTCAAAGTCATATAGGTCACAAAGACCACCATATCCTGGGTTGAGTACATTTTGTGGGGTACAAAGTACAGAAGACAATATATTTTTTGAATTTAGCAGCTTTCATTTTGCTTTCTCAGAAATGGGTTCTGCAGCTGTCTCTTCACGGAGCAGTAACAGAAAAACTAAGGTGGAGTCTAGGACAGTTGACATGGAGTCCCTACAGCCATACTGCTTGTTCGTATAGCCATACTGACTCCATTCTTGCTACTCCAGCAAGGAACTGTTACAAGTGATCAGGTAGCTTTACCACAGCAGTTGCTATTTAGTGTTGCCAAGTTTGCTATGCCAGGCAACTATTAATGGGGACAGAGGCTGGGCTTTCCCATGGGAGAAGCAATTCTTACATGATACGGAGTCTCAGGGTAAAATGGAGTCTGTTTGGTCATTGCCCGTATGGCCTGGCCCATAACAACCCCACCTCCCAGCACCTACTACGGCCCTTCCTTCACCTCCTCATGACCTTCCCCTCTCCAACAGTCTTGTGCCATCTCCACTCACTCACAGAATCCAGCCCACTGGCTCTGTGTCTGAGATGGGCCCACCTTGATTCCTCCCCACAGTCCTTGCTCCTGGGGTCTTGTCACCCTGCACCCGTCTCATCCTGTACATACGGCTGGTTTCTTCAGTCAGCCTTTGACTTCAAGGTCACCACATCAAAGGGGCTTTCTCTGATGATCCTTTCCAGTGACCCTGACTAGTCCTCTCCCTTCTGTAAGTATCACCCTGTTTTATGTCAGTCTGGGCACATGGAGCCTGGGAGAACTGGGCTTTGGCTAGGTAGTGTCACTTTTCTAACACTAAAGCAATTCCGTAATTCTCCAACTTCAACTGAGCATCCTGCGGTTCAATCCTACCCTGACACTACCACCACTTCAAGGGCTCAATCCCACTAAATGGCCCTCACTTCAGATGCCGGTCACAAGTCCTGGGAACCACCTGTATTGTCTACTAATGGGTTATAAATCAGAGATTCTCACAAACTCCCCTCAGATTCAGTAATTCCCTCAAACATTCTAAAGACTCTCCAGGAACAGTGAAATGGAAGTATGCACAGGATGAGTTTGAAGGGAGGACTTGGGTTCGGGGCTCCTGTGCTCTCTTTAGGACATTCAGCTTCTTGGCCTATCAGTGTGCTCCCCAACCTGGAAGTTCCAACACTGGTGTGGAGTTTTCATAGAAGTTTCCTCACATAGGCAAGGTCGATTCAATCCTCGGTCACCTGGTGACTGAACTCAGTTTCCATCCCTTCTTTCTTCCCCAGAAGGAGGCTGGTGGAGTGGAGTAGAAATTTCTAGGCCTCTAATCCTGGCTCAGTTTTTCTGGCCACGAGGCCACATCCTGGAAGTATCCACAACTCCAGACACACCCATCTGCCTGGCCTAGCTCCCGCCATGAGCGTACAAGGACAATCTTATCACTTAGGAAACTCCAAGAATTTTAGGACCTCTGCCAGGAACAAGGACAAAGACCAAATATGTTTCTCCAAAGTCTCCCCCAGTGCACACGAGGAGTGTGTCACCCAGAGAGACCTTGGCTTCTTTTGGAACTTTTTTTCAGACCAACATCATCCTCTGCTTCACAGGGGTCAGCAGCCCTAAAAGGCAGCCTGGAAAGATGGAAATGAAGACAAATGCTCTTCTGTCTCCCCCCTCCTCACCCCAGAAACCTCCGTGGAGGATCAAGCATCCATCTCCCCTCCACTTCCCAGGCTGAATCTTTGTGTCCGGGGAGAGCGTGCAGACTCTCTATGACCAATAAGGTGCCTAGCCCCGGGAGCTCCCATGGTTTGGGCTAGGTAGATTCCTGATGGGGGCTTCTCTTCCTACTCCTCTCCCTGAGCTTACAGACCTTCCAAGACCCCAGAGGATGGAGAAGTCAGAGCAAGATTCTGGGAACGTGTGAACACAAAGATGGGGGGAAAAATGATCTTTTTTTTTTGATGTGGGGCTTTCTCACCTCCTACCTCTTGGTGATTTTTCTCTCTGGATTTTATAAGCCAGCACAGTTTCTGAGTGAAATCTCATCCATGTGGTCCTGATTCCTTTACACACTGGGAAAAGGTTCATGCATGAAAGAGATGGAGATCCCAAAGGACTCTTTTATTTGATTTAACAAATCCCTTTCAAATTTTTATTTTTTCATTAGGAACAGAAGCTGTGCACTCACAAACCACACACACACACACACACACATACACACACCCAGAGGCACACATACACATCCCTCACTCCTACCTACACCACCACTAGCTTCAGATTCTATACCTCTGTAAGCCCCAAGACCGGAATATTTCCATGAACCAAGAGTTAGGAGACACTTTCCATCTTCTCCATTTAGTGCCTACTGGGAAATTAAAGGGATCTTGGAAGAAATCTCAGAAACTGAGAGGAAGAAGGCAAAGTGTCCCTCCTGCTCCAGGAAGCCAGAATTCCTGCAAGGCCCTCTGTCATCTACGTGCCTCACTCACTCCCCCCACTTTACCCCCAACACACACACACCCATGGCCCTGTGCCAAGGAGAATATCATAAGGACCCTGTGGCTCCAGACCCACATCCACAGCCTAGATTTAATTTCGGTTTTGTTGGGAGGATACTGCCACCAAAGACCTGAAGGGTATGGAGGAGGCCCAAGACAGATCATTGACTTTCCATCCTCTGTGGTGGGCAGGA